GGAAGGGATGTGCCATCCAGAGGGACCTGGACAGGCTGGAGAGGTGGGACCGTGTGAACCTCATGAAGTTCAACAAGGCCAAGTGCAAGGTCCTGCACATGGGTCAGGGCAATCCCAAGCACAAATACAGGCTGGGCGATGAGTGAATTCAGACCAACCCTACGGAGAAGGACTTAGGAGTAATAATGGATGGAAAACTGCGTAAGAGACAGCAATGTGCACTTGCAGCCCAGAAAAACAGACGTGTCCTGGGCTGCATCAAGAGAATTGTGGTCAGCAGGTCCAGGAAGGTGATTCTTCCCCTCTACTCCACACTTGTGAGACCCCACCTGGAGTACTCCATTCAGCTCTGGGCTCCCAACATAAGGACATGGACCTGCTTGAGCAGGTCCAGAGGAGGCCACGAAGATGATGAGGGGGCTGGAGCACCTCCCCTGTGAAGACAGGATGAGGGAGTTGGGGTTGTTCAGCCCGGAGCAGAGAAAACTCTGGGGAGACCTTATAGCAGCCTTCCAGTTCTTAAAGGGGGCTACAGGAAAGATGTACTCTCTATCAGGGAGGGTAGTGATAGGACGAGGAGTAACAGTTTTAAACTAAAAGAGGGCAGATTTAGATTAGATATAAGGAATAAATTCTTCACTGTGAGGGTGGTGAGACACTGGCACAGGTTGCCCAGAGAACCTGTGGCTGCCCCCTCCCTGGCAGTGTTCAGGGCCAGGTTGGACGGGGCTTTGAGCAACCTGGTCTAGTGGAAGGTGTCCCTGCCCAGGGCAGGGGAGTTGGAACTAGATGATCTTTATGGTTCTTTCCAACCCAAACCATTCCATGATTCTATGAAAATTGCTAGCTATCACACACTAGCATATGTACTCTCATTCAGTGTGGTTGCTGGCATGACAGTCGTCCCCTTGACCATGGTCCAACTCCAGCTGCTGGCACATAGACTTCCAAACACACATGCACACAGAAGACAGTCCCCTCACACAGGAAAATAGTTAGAAATGGAGTTAATAAGAAGGTAAGACAGACTGCACTGGTCAGGAGCAGGGCATGGCCAGATAAGTTTTCTGACTATCAGCCTGTTTACTTACAATCAGCCCCAACTCTATTTTCTTCCTCCTCAAACTTCCTTGACCCTTCTTTTTCCCTGTCTTTTGTTCCTCCCCTAAACCTCCCCTAATAAATCTTGTGTGATCCCAAAATACTCTTTCTCTACATCCCACAATGTGTCCCATATCCCCAAGCAGTGACCCCCTCAGTCCAGAAGATGCTCTGGAGGGCACTTGTCATTAGAGCTGGGTGTCACCCCCAGCAAATGGGGCTTGATAGCACCACTGGGACAGCCCTGGAAGGGACCGTGTCCCTTCCCCTGACTGGGTTATGGGGGATCTCCCACCTGCCTCTGAGCTCCTTTGTGTCTGTGGGCACAAGCTTTTTATCACATAATCTAGCAAAGTATTTGCCAGACTTGGATCTGATCATGCAGTTTTGTGGCTGAGACACGAGGGGACCCTGTTAATCATGCCTATAAACCAAGGACAAGCGTTCACCTAGTTAGTCCATGGCAAGCCCCTGAAGTCAGCCTTTAAAAAGCAACTAGAATATTACATGAAAAAAAGTCACCAGTTCAGACTGAGTCTTGAAAAGGGCTCTGTCATTGTGAACACAATGAGGAATCAAAAATACCACAAGAGACCTGAGGCAAAAATCTCCAAGGCCATGTTCACAGCACAAGGAGTTCCACACATTAAAGCAAAAGCAGACAGCGAGATGACATGTGATGTTTGGAAAAAATACAAGAGTCTCAGTGGTTTATAACTCTTTGCCTGAGTTTGCATTACCATTCAAGTGTGCAAAACCTGGGTAAATAAAAAAGGCATCAGAGCTGCTAGGTCAGGACAATTGCTCCTGTAATAAAGAGCAACCTTACAGTAGGAGATTATCAAACTACTCTTTTGCACTGAAAGCAGAAGGGATTGCATAAACCAATGATAAAGATCTGTAGGTCAGTGTCGGAAAGGCCTGCAAATCTGGATTAAAACACTGGGCATCCAGGAAACCTCACTACTCTGAAGTCCAAATAACAAAACCACAGCAGCTATTTCAGATGGTTCCCAGAATATCCCTCTGCTGCCCTAGGCCACTGGGATGGTAATAACTCTTGGTTCCTCTGTGGCAAGCACCACATGCATCAGATATTACATGCCTCCAGCCTCCCATTCCATCCCTTTAATGTGGAGGCAAAAGCAGCAAATGTTTTTGATTGCTTTGTCCCACGCTATTACCAAATGCAGAGGAAGGTATTGACCATTGGCGCCCAACAGCTCTTCCACATGTCCTTGCAATGGCACCTATGAGGAGGTGCTCACAGTCAGTTCTGCTGGGACACACTGCTCTGGGTAATAGAAACCTTGACAGTATTTGAAATTCCCTTGCCTGGCAATGTCCACTGTTAGTTAATAACCCTTTCATGGTTTTTGAGAGAAAAGAAGGTGGGAGAGGAACACCTTTAGGAGGCTCTGATACCAGTTGCTTGGAGCCACTTGTATGATACATCTCACTCAGCCTTATGCTTAGACTGTAGACAGCGTGAGGCTAACTTGCACTCTACAATACCCCTCTTTCCCATATCCCCAACCTCCAATGGGCTCCTCGATTGCCCAGACAACATGTGACATGGCTTGACACCCTCACAGCCTATGCCCCCATGGTTGCAGCCCACAGATAAGCAGGCACAGCTTGCTGGGGCTGGTGCCTGCACAGGTCTTGCTGCAAAGGTGGGAGACAGTCAGGACATATACCTGGGAGGAGCTGAGTCACAGAGTGAGAGGCTCCTTGGTGGCTCCAAGTGCTGCTGAGCAACACATTAAATGTTGTCACCTTAGCCACCTTTCAAAATGCTCCTCAGCCCTTTTGCACTATAAAGGTAACACTCTTCAGCAGGTTCTGTCATCCATCCAGCTACAGATCTGTCACAGTGACAGCAACTAGAAAAAGCTCTCAGTTACTTTGGACAGTGAGATATAAGGAAAATTAATATGCCTTCTGTATCCTCTACTTATGAGTCAATTTTACTATTTGTGTAAAGCCTCTTAAAGAAGATGAGATTCCTCCAAATAAAAATGAAGAGGGGGGAAAAAAAAAAAAAAAAAAAAAGGAAAGGGTAAAACCAGATTTTTTTTCTTCCCAAAACATGTAGTTTAAAAAAAATTCTTCCACAGAATATTTCACTATCTACCACTAGGGAAAAAAAAATCATCTATTTTCACTGTAGCTTCCAGTTCTGTCATTCTGTTTCTTTTCATGTGAATTATTGTAAAATACTGCTGCTGCTGTGCATTCACCTTTCTAGCTGCTCTGGGAGATATCACCTTGGGGCCACCAGAGAAGCCCTTCTCTTCAGAGCGCATTACATTCCAGCTTACAAAAGGATTTTCCATTATTGTAAGGTACACTTGTGTTATACTTAGCACGTTTCTACCCTAAGGTAGCGTCAAACTGGCATCACCCAGAAATGCAGCCGTGACACAGCAATAATCTTGTTAAATGCTAAATAAAAGATGCTAATATGTTAGAGTGAAGGGCAAAGAACTGTGCCATCTTGTACCCACTATACAATGCACTGTCAGCAAATCCCTCTCCTTGCTGTACTGCCCAGCTCTGCTTTTGGTTGTGCCTTTGTGTGCCCTTAAAGTCTTTTAGCCACAAAGTGTAAAAAGGCTGTACTGATTTAGGCTCAGTATGATATTTTTTCGATGTTTGAAGGTTCCAGAAGCATTTTCTTAAAGCAAGCTTCTAAAAGTATTGTTAAAATGTACCCCTTTTTAGGTAGTATCTCAGAAAGTGCATCCCACATTGCACCCTCTCATGAAACACCCAAGAAAAAATGTAATAACCCAAGAAACCTGTAAGAAACTTTGCATGCCTGCATACCTTCGCATTGAGCAGGGGAGGTGAAGTGGCCACCAAGTTTACAGTTTCCCAGGTCCCTCAGATCCACAAGGAAGGGGACAAGAGATTCCCAGGAGGGTTTTCCTTCTCCAGATTGTTGTTTCTTTCTCAAAAATGAATGTTCAACTTTATTAGTGATCAGAAATCTTCCAAGTCAGCACAGAAAGCTGTTTCTGTCTCACTCGTCAGCTTCACTCCTACAGTCCCAGTCCTATAGGCTCACAGCAGAAACCCAAACCCCAGACACATCATCTAGAGAAGCATGGATACCATGAACCACTGACCAGAGGTCAGATCTTCTGGATCTGTGAACTGGAAGAAACAGCAGTGAATGCGAGTGTGTGAAAGCCCCGGGGACAACTGGCACTCTGCTGCTGACACACAGAAAGACACTGCGCCTGCCTCGAGGAGCCTCTGGCCCCAGAGAGCAGTGATGCGAACCTTCAGCTGCCAGAGGTGAAGAGAAACTAAATGCAAGTTTTGCCTTTTGCAAAGCCATTGATAAACACTATCTCTCTGCATGAGAGTAAATCACAGGCAATTTAAAATAAACACTGCCACAGATGGAAGAGAACTTCCACAGCCTCATTCAGTGACTCTTTGCCCTCTCTCCCAGCTTATGGATTGTATTACAGAAATACACTTTCTGCATTTACACTAATTTTTGTATTCTTGCAAGTATTCCCTGCTAGCCACCTTAGCTGGTAAATACTGAGCTAAAGAGGTCAGAGGGTTGACTTGCTGTGACTGTTCTTAAGTTGCCTTCTCACTCATTTCATATCAGTTGCTCAAAAGAAAAGGGTCACCTCTCCTTGGCTCTTGCACTTGACACATTGTTTGCACCTTGGTAAGTGGTTATTAACCCAGCCTGTCGGTGTAGGAGAACTTTGCACTCACATTTTCACAGAGTAGGACACAGAAAATTAAAGCAAAATCAAGCTGACAGCTCCTGTAAAATCCCAGACACCTCTCAGAAAGCACAGCAGCATTTCTTGACCCTCAGAACCTCATTACAATGGAGTTAAACTAAAGATTTTAGTATTACTTCTATGTGCTTGCTTCAGCCACACATATACTAAAATTCGAACGACACAGAGATTAGCATAGACCCTGCACAAGGATGACATGCAAATTCATGAAGCATTCCATATTTGGGGGGGTTAGAACTAGATGATCTTTAAGGTCCCTTCCAACCCTAACCATTCTGTGATTCTATGATTCTATTTCATTTATTTTTCACAGTTTTTCTGTTACCGTACCCATGGACTCCATTTGGTAATGAATTCCCAGCACAAGTCTAGCATTTGTTTCCTGTAGTTTTAAGGCTACTCTGAGCTGGCAAAATGCAAGTCCAAGACCACCTTTTGGGGACAGGCTTCCTCACTCAATGCGCTGAAATGCAGAGACCCATTTCTTCACATTCATTCATGCAGAATGACGTCTCCCTGCAGACCATCGCACTGACTACAGTCTTACTTCATCTGCAGCCCTGGGGAAAACACAAAAAAATCCCTGCAACATCCAGATGGTGCATTGAGAGGCTGGAGTGAAGAGAAGCTCTGGAGTTCCTTGCCTGCATGGAAGCAGCCAGATCCACTCTCCAACAGCTACACAAAAGAGCCTCTGTCTCTGCTGCTGAGAGATCCCTTTGAAGCTTGGGAATCCTGACTGGCAGCATTTCATATCTGGCCATCTTTAGGTTTAGAGCAATGAAGAATGGGAAAAAAGAAAAAGATGGGAAAAAAGAGAGCAGGGAAGAAAAAAAGTAGGATCAGCTCAGAACAGGTCTGGCTAAGAGCCCATGACAACATACATTTTGCATTACCACACCTACGTCATTTTTTGGTTTAAGGCTTTCTTATCAACATAGAAATTTCCAGTTTATTTTTGACCTTTTGAGCAGAGAACGGGCAATTTCTCTCAGCAAAGGAGATGTTATAATTCACAATTAAGAAACACAAAGAATCCTCAGTGTAAAGGTACATCGTAAAACATAGTAAGTCTAGACCAGGAGCATGCGGTTTCATTTTAAAGAATGCATGCATTGCTAGTTTCTCTAACAGATTAAGGGAAATCTTTACACAAACAAATACCAATTACCTGTAAATATATGGGTTATGTTTGATTATGAATATTTCTAGGTTTAGAAAACACTAATTCACTTCTTAGCTCTATTGTGGTGTGGTTACAAAATAGTTTTACCCCTCTACGTCTTGCTTTCTCCACTCATAAACTGTATAACTTCCTTGTTGAAATCTGTAAAAATGTTGTAGCTGATTCTTGTACAGCAGCAAGCATTTGCTCATTAAAGATTAAAAACATTCTAGAAGTTAAACTTTTAATGTTAACAAATCTGTTCATTTGCTTTTCTTCACCTCTGTCAACTTCATGTTTCCCTAATGTAGAAAACAGAAAAACTTCATTCACCTCTCTTATCAACTGTTGTTTTTTTCATTATTCTACCTTCTTCAATTAAATGTCATTTACTGTGGCTGTGGTGGCAGAAAATGGCTTACAAAAATAAATTAAGCTTTCACTCTCAGGTCTATGAACAGAAAAAGAATCAACGATTCATTTAATTCGCAATATTATTTATTCTGTTATTTTCTGTTCCATTCTTTGTAATGCATAACCTTGACCTTATGAGCAAAGAATCCTAATATTAGATATTTTGGAGGGAAAGCAAGTGCTAAGCATAAGACTTTTTTGATTGGATATAAAAGGGCTCTAGGAGTTAGTCTCCACATCTGAAAAAAATGACAGGCTGTGATCACCAAGGCCAAAGCAAGAATGGTAGAGAAATAGACCTCAAGAATTTGTGATTCTGTCACAAGTTCTAAAAATTTAAATCTTGCTTTTTTATGTGTCACACATCCACTTTCCTCTGAGTATGCTTCTCAATGCTTTCAACACTTGCACTCTTACCATAAACTCATAGGACTTCAAAATTTTCTTCATTACTTCACTCTAACGGGCTCTCTTATGAAATGTTCATCAAAGGGACTGCCCAGCCATATCCGATCTGTATGCAACTCAAAGGTGATGCCAGATGACCAGCTGCAAAGCCCTACTGGGGTGCTGCTGTGCTTAAATGTCCACACGGTGAATCCACGAAGGGCTCAGCTGTCCTTCACCTTATCCACACCCTGCTGGAGGAGCCCCAAGCAGAGCCACACTCCCCTGGCTATGAACCACTTTTCTTGGAGCTGCCTGTCCCCTCCATTCCCAAACAACTGATACTGGTCTGGCTGTGGAAGGAATGGGTGTGAGGGGAGAAACAGTAAGGAAGGTTGGCTATTCCTTGATTAGTGCTTTCATTTTGCTCTAATGTGTGAGCACTTCAAAAGAAAGGAAAAAAAAAATCAGCATTTCCGTCTTCCTCCTACAGTTCAAGACAGGAACATGAAAGAAAATCCCCTAATGATTAATTTAATGGGTGAGGAGATAGGGATTTTTATTTTACACGCCTAAGTAGATAACAATGAACGCTGACATTTTTCTTTAAGGTCTAAATCTGCCCTTGAAGGGGTAGTAGTAACTGGGTGAAAGCCTCTGTTGTGAGAGAGACATAGAAGACTGAATTATCACCCTTCTTAGACTCAGAAAAAAAAAAAAAAAATTAAAGCCCATGAATATAATTTATTTGTGACTTGCCTACAACTATTGTGCTCACTGATTTCACTTAATCTATGCTGGGGGAGTACGTCAGCCTGGCAGAAGTGCTGCTACATTACAGTGCATTGACTCCATTAAAACACTGCACAGCATCTAAACCGGGGCAACCCTACGTTTATCAAATCCTCAGCTGGCCCTGATGACTCAGGAGAGAAGTTAGCCCCTAGCAGAGGGGAAATGCAGGCAGGCTGCCCTCCACTGCATATCTGGAAGCCTGCATTTGTCAAAAAAACTCCCCAGCAAGTGGCCCCGTCAGGGGACTGTCTCTTACCCTCCCTGGGAACAGCACCTCTTTGCTCTCAAGGAAGCAGCCACAGACCCCTGAGCAGAGCAACTTTGTGACTGCACTTCAGTGGTGCTCATACGAACATAACTTCTTGGTTGCAGTATAATGGTCAGACCAGTGAAAAGGCAAAAATCAGCAGCCAATTAAGAGAAGACTTGTCAAAGGTCCAAACACACCCACTACCTCTGCATGATTCACTTGATGGGGAGCAGAGAGCCATGACTGAAATCTAGCTCATCAGCACCAAGTCAAATATTTGCCATCTCTCCAGGTAGACTGCACTTGACGTCCGAGCTGGCGCCAGCCTGACTCCTGGCTGTTAGCTGACGAGACATCATAAAAACTCAGAAGCAACAGTTACCTCATACGCAAACAGGTACTTACTAACATCTCCTTAGTGGGTCTGACACAGCGTAACATGTCCTGTATTCTTTCTGAAATAAGTACACACAGGCAGTGAGAGCTTTAGTTATAATTATCATTCCTGCTGATAGCCAGGAACATTAGGGCACTTAACACCAGCTGATTGCTCCCCGCTTGTGAATCTCTACTGGGAGCACAAGGCCAGTGACTCACCCCTCCTCTTCCTCTGGGATTTTTTTTTTTTTTTTTTTTTTTTTTTTTCCTTTTTAAAAGGATTATGTTCTTTCTTGCATGGGATCTTGTGGCATCCTTGTCAGGCTTTGTTATTCTGAATGGGCAGACAGGAATTTCACCAGGTCAGTTACAGCTCCCAGCTTTCTGCTGAAATTTTGGGAGGCAAAGATACATTCCTTTCAAACAGCTCCGAACCTTTCTCTTGGACTTACCATATTCATAAAACCAGGTACTACTTTCTCTCACCTATCCCATATCAAAATACAAGCTAAGCTTTTATACAGTCATTTTAGTCCGAGCCCTTTAAATGGGAGGAATTGGTAATACTGTTTTGAGAAGAGAAGCTCAGTACAGAACAGCCAAGTAACGTATCGCAGATAGCTGAGCAGGTGTGACACACATTGTAGTGAAACCCAGGTCTGCTGCACACAGGAGCTTGCCTGTGCAGCATAGCAGAGCTGCAAGTGTCCCAGTCCTGAAGGGCTCCTTTAGGATCTTCCACAGAATAAATAAATAAAATTTCCCACTAACACTCCAGGCATTTCCTGCTATTAAGCTGTTCCTTGGTTAACATAGCAATGTCAAGAGATCAGTTTTAAAATATTTGGCACCTAGAGCCACAATTAGGCTCAGAAAGATGTTGCCCAGACTGTCAGAGGCAAACAACACTTGCAGCTTGCACTCCCTTGGCATCAACTGCTTGCCCAAGTGCCTAGATATAAGTTATGTCCTTAGCAGATGTCACCCAATTTAAAAAAGGCTGTTCTTTACCACAAAGTCACATTATTTCCAGCATGTTGGATTAGTGTCTGTGATAAAGAGCTTTGCGTCTGACTGAAAGACGCAGCAACAGCTGACTTCTCTGGCCCTCTCTCTTTTTCGTCCAGGCACCTAATTGTCTTGGGAAAAATGACCTGTTTATCAAGTTAAACAAAACAACTGCTCTCTAGAACAGACCAATAAAACAGGATTTATATGGGGAGCTACGGCTTTATTGGCTATTGGTTTAAGCTGTTTGTCCTATTTTAGGAGAGTATTGTTTTCATTAGGTTTTTCCCCCTCTTGAAAAGACTATTAATTACATTGTCATAAATAAGGAACTACATTGTTTAATATGGCCGTTAAAAAGGAGGTTTATAGATCACATCACCACAAGGGTTCATTTAGGTCTCATAGTAATTAATAGATACGGATGTATAGCAGCAGTTCATGACATGCTTTTGTTTGACCTTTTTGCCCTACATTTTGGACCACTTTGAGATTGTTTTATGTAATGTCTTCAAAACCTGACCTTCATTGCCCTCTGCTGGCTACCTCATTTACTCATTGCACAGCACAACACAGCACAAACTGGGATGTTAGCTGGACAAATCATGGAACACCCTGAGAAGGCTTCCAGAGTTCGGAGTTCCCTCAGGGACTGTCGGCAGCAAAGCTGTGGTCTTTGCTGTCTACCGCATCGATGTTAATGCATAGGTACTTATAGCTACATTACAGCAAGCACAATGCCACCTAGGGCAGAGATATCATTTTAGGAACAATCAGAGTGAAAATTCCTACAACAAAAAATGTTTTTTAAAAAAATCACGTTAGTTCA